CTGAAATGTTGCTTAAGCTCTGTGAGTAGGAAAGGCGTGTCCTTAAGCCTAAAAACATACTGGCACCAAGAAAACAGACCTTTTGAGCACAGAAACTGGGACATCCTCCTTTAAGCAATGTTTTCCTCTCCAAGTAGGTGAGTCACACAGGAGAAGTAATTGGCAGGGAATGAAGGGGGTGGTTACTTAGGATTCTATGGTGGCATTAGAGTCCAGGACACTAGGCCGCCAGGGACACCATGTTTAACAGGAATGACAATTCTTTAGAAGGAGGATTTATCCTTTATTATTAATATATGAACAGACTATCCCTTTAAAAAACTGGGCCAGTAGGCAAGTGTGACGCACAGGAACCTGAAGTCTGGGGCCATTGAAATTTTTCCTCCATCCCTCCTCACATCTAATTCATCGTCAAGTCCTGTAATTCCACCTTACAGGTATCTGTCACATCCATATCCAAAGCTTTCGTCTGAACTGCTGGTTAATGTATTTTCCTTTCATGGAATATGGCAACAGCCTATTAGCTGATTGTTCTGTCTCCTGTTTCCTCTCCTACCCATCCGCCACAGGGCCTCGAGGAAGATCCTTCTAAAGCACAAGTACGATCATGATCATGTCATGATCCTTCAGCACTGCCCTGTACCTGAGGGGTAAAGTCTAGGCCCACAAGGCTGGGAACCAGGCTCCTCTGCCCCACACGGCCCTGCCCTCCATTCCACTCACCTGCCTGGGGCTCCTCTTGCTGCCGCTGCCTCTGCCTGGAATATGCTTCTCCCTTCGTCCACTGAGTAGACCCCTGTTGGGAGGCCCAGAGCAGATATCTTCTCTTCTGTCCAGTCTTCCCCAGCCTTCAACCCTGTATCCGTCAAGTGGAATGAGGCTTTTCTTAGCCACCCCTGAAATGTAGCCTTGACCACAATGCTTTACATACTGGGTTTCTGGGTTTGATGCTCCTCTGAACCCCAGACTAAGCTCTGGAAAATGGAAATCACATTTAGTTTATCTCTGTAGGCCCAGAGCCCAGGATGAGTCCAGGCAGGAGTTATATATGGGTGTGTTGATTGCCAGATTATAGGAGACAGAAATGGGAGGTTGAAGACTTAGTCCCCTGAAGCAAAGTGCTGGGGGAGAGTGGCATACCTTACATCTTTTATAAATACAAGCTCACGATGTATTCTGGCTGCAGTCTTGACTGGGACAGTGTGCCATGGATGCCTTCTCTTTTCCTATGCTCTGCTCTCACCTGCCGGAGAAATATGACTGACCTGGTCATGAAATGAGCACCTGCTTCTGTGTACAGCCCCCGCCCCTTGTTATCTGGTGAACAAACCACCAATGTGTTTACATTTTTAATAAATGTGGCCACAGATACCTTGATAAGCTGCCCCTTTACCTCTCTCCCTACCCCCATCCATTTCACCTGACTTTGTATGGTTTCCAGGGTCAATTCTTTTTCTGTGGGCCCTTCACCATTACTAAGTAACTGGTCACTTCATCAGACTCAAAGCCAGGTTTTCTGAAGCCAAATGCTATGTTCTTCCTAATAAACCACCTTGTCCCTCTTCTAAGCTGGTGTGCCCCTCCTGTACCATGCTACTACTCACAGTAGCCCTAAGGAGAAGTAGTAGTCTTTAGTCAGTTGTTTCCATCGTTCACTGATTCATCTTTTCATCAAACTGCTAGATGATGAGATATGTAATTTTACCCCAAGGGACCTCAATCTAGTGACAAAAATGTACCTAAAACAATTATTGGCCAAGTGTGGTGGCTCACACCTGTAATCACAGAACTCTGGGAGGGCGAGGTAGGAGGATTGCTTGAGCCCAGGAGTTTGCAGTGAGATATGATGATACCACTGCACTCTATAGGACCCAGGAAACAGAGTGAGGCCCTGTCTCAAAAACAAAACCAAACTGAATTAGTATAAGATAGGAACAAATTGCCATGGAAGCACAAAGAGTAGCCTAATTAATGAGTTGAGCAGGAGCAGGTGACATTCCAGCTGGGTCTTAAATAGGGAACGGTTGTCCTCAAGGGAGAGCAGAGCATCCTCAGCAGAGAGAAGAGCAGAAGTAAAGGCCTGGGGGTATGAAAAGGCACGGCGGGTCTGAGAAATTGAGGATTGGGGTGCTCGAACGGCTGGGTGCTTAAAGGCAGGGGGAGGGAGATCCCTGTCTCCCAGGGGTTTTCTTCCGAGCTGAGGCTGGGTGACAACTGCAGGCGCTCCCTACAGCTGCTCCCAAGGCCCCGCTCTGCCCTACAGGTGCTCCCACGGCGGAGCGAGGTTCCCAGGGCTGTTGGCACTCCACCCACTCCCACCCGCTCAGGCGGGTGGCATCCCAGAAGGAAAGAGGCAGGGGAGGAAGCAGATAAGAAAGACAGCTTCTGTTTAGACACAAATATCTTGGTAATCAGCACAGATGGGATGAGAAATACCAAAAAAGTACATGACAGTTTAGAGAGAATTTGGCTAAATGTTACATATTTTTTAACATACCTGTGTAGAGTTTTTGGAACAAGCACCTGAGTCCTTCAGAACATGATTGGAGATGGGAGGCATGCCTCATTCAAATGGTGTTTTTATTTCAGAAATGTTCCCTTCCCCATCCACAAAAGTATCCTTGTGATTTTTTTTTTTCTCCCACCAAAATAAGGCGCAAGATTTGTCTCTGACGCTGTGTCTCCCTATTTGGACGGCAAGCTGTGTAACATATTTCTCCCCAGCGTGAAGCTTCTTGGCAGACTCTTGAGGCCACGTTTTGGTGGCTTCAGAGTTATCTTTGGATCTGTCAAAAGTGCTAATGGGCTTTCTGGCCTTCTTTAAGCTCCTCATTTCTATTTTCTTTTTACTTCCATCCTCTCCTAAAAGAAAAATTCATGTAATTCATCAGCAGTTAAGCTTTTACTGAAATGCTCAGCGAAGGGCCTCATATTTTTGTTTGCGAGGAGAGCTCTGCCATGTCACAGTCTTTAGTACAAACCCCACCCTGACATCATTAGCTCAGCGTTCCTCAGTCCACTGAGCAAGATATGCTGGTTGACTTATTCACACTGCCTTTCGTGTGTGTTTTGTTTTTCCCTTGGGTTTGTTAAGAGGCAAGTTGATGCCGTGCTTAGAGTGTGAGTTTTGGATTCAGGCGACCTGTTTTTGAAACTTGGCTCTGCCCTTTCTAGCTGGGTGACCTTTAGAAGACTACTGAACCTTCCTGGGCCTGTTTTCCCATCTATAAAATGGAGATGCTAATGCCTATCTCAGGGTTGTTGAGAAGATTAGACAGAACACAGGTAAAGTACCTATTGCCTGGCATGTGAGGATTACTCAATAATTGAGGCAAAAATAATTTCTAACAGAAAAACTGGCCCTTTTATTTAGGCATATTTGATCTTTTTTTCCCCAAATATGATTTTTACATACAATTTTGAGTGGTATTAAAAAAGTGTACAAGTTGAGAAACAGACCCACCCAGGACTGAATCATGTCTTCCCCACTGACCGTGGGACCTTTGTCCACTTACATCGCTCCGGTGTGCCACTGTTTTCTCGTCTCTATATGGGGACGATAATACCTAGTTCAGGAGTGGTTTCAAGATTAAGTGAAATAATATCTGTAAAGCTTTGTACATGGTAGGTGTATTTCAGAGGGACAGTTTAGTGTAAAGAAAAGTATATGGGCTGTAGAGTCACATCTGACTATACCAGTTACTCTCTCCAGATTTAATTTTTTTATATATTGGAAAGAATAATACCTCATTTGATTTTTGTGAAGATTGCATAAGATTACACGTGTGAAGTGTCTGGCATGGTGGCTGGCACTTAATAGGTAGTCAGTACATGGAGCTATTAATTCACTTGCCCTTTATTTATAAAGGTTGATGGTTAACTGGGTACTCCAGTCAAACAATAATAAATCATAAGATAAGTGCCCATTCTTATTCCCAACCCATAATATTGTTGAAAAGCACTTTATGCTATTTTGCATGTCAAATCCACCTGGTTTACTTCAATTTATGGGTTATAGATCTTTAATCATTATAAACTGCAACCCCTGGCAATAGCGTTCCTCCCCTCCCCAACCCCTTTCATTTTTGGAGGATTATATTGTGTGGCATTGAAAACCTTGCTGAGGTTAACATTGAGGAAATTAGCATATTCATGTGTATGATTAAAGTCAGGTGGGTATAGAAAAGATTGTATAAATGAAACGCATTACATTTTTTTCTGAAATCTGAAGAGTGCCAATCTATAGTACTAATTAAAAGAATGAAACCCGGGCTACAGAAAAAAGCTAGTTAAAACACTGCTTTGTCACAACTTGCTGCTGTTTGTCTCGATTTTTTTTTCCCCTTTTGAGTGAAATACCTGGAAATTGTAAATCTTCGAAATTGCCTTAATTCCAGCTGAGCCGTTTTAGCGAATGTAAACTGCGAAGGGGGGGGGCAGCAGTGATGACAGGAGAGGGGCACACCCGGCGTCGCGGGTGGCATCTCCCGCACAGAAACAGGCTCTGTTCCAGAAGCATCTGCTCCCTAGGGTGCTTTCTTTTGCTTAGACGTCTGGTACAGTACATCGGGAAGGTTCTAGGATCTGGAGTCCAAAGACCTGAGCAGCAGTCCCATCTTCATTGCTTATTAGACTCTGAACTTGGCAAAACTCTCTGAGCCTTGGTTTCCTCATTTGTAAAATCGTAGAATTCCTGTTGTGCTTTTCCAACCTGACATGAAGGACAGATGTTGTGCTGTATGTGACCTCATGTCATAAACTGTGATCACCACACAAAGGTGTGATTGCCCAGGCTCCTTCCTGTCTCAGTTCTCTTCTAACTTTACATTTCATGATTTTATACATGAATGGGATTTGGCCTCCCAGGTAGAAAGCACAGGACAGGGGAAGAAGAAAGTATGCTTTCTGATTATTTTCTGTTTCTTGCGCTTTTATTAGATACTGTTTGTAATAAGAGCAAACAAAATAAGCCACAAACCTTGCCTTCTTCTTTCTCCTAGAGAAATCTGACAGAATATTTTGTGGCTGTGGATGTAAACAACATGTTGCATCTGTACGCCAGTATGCTCTACGAACGCCGGATACTCATCATCTGCAGCAAACTCAGCACTGTGAGTAGACAGTCTTGACATGGACTTTTTAATGATTTAATTTTAATTGAAAGATGGATCGACAAGATTAAAGAAAATTTAGAAAAAGGAATCAGCCACAATCCCCGTATATGGTAACATGTCATTTTCATTAATTATTCATGTTTTCTTTACAGTGCCAATATGCATTTCACTTATTCTTAGTCTCACAATCAATTATAGCTTCCCATTTGATTATGTGTTATGAACATTTTGCATATTTCTACATAAGCTTCCTTTATTGTCATTTGTAAATGTCTGCACCATATTCCATTATATTTCTGATATTCCTAATATTTCATCACTTACTAAATCTTTCTTTTCTTTATGGCCATTTAGGTTGTTCATAGTTTAATCCTTCAGTAAATAATACTCTAGGGAACATCTATTGACTGATATAGTCCATATTCTAAGGAGTGGGACGCCAGGTCAAAGGACTGCCAGATTCCTTCCCAAACAGCCTGTGCTTTCTGCAGTAAATGCTGTTAGCTGTATACGAGTGTACCGTTTTCACTGCAGCCTTGCTAGAATTGTGTGTCTGTGTGTTTGTGCAGGTGTTTTAATTTTGCTAATAAAGTAGATATAAAATGGTATTTACAGTTTGCTTTAATTTTAATTTCTTCGGTTAGAGGTAACTGAACATTTTCCTTGGGTTTATTTCCTACTTGTATTTTGTTAATGTCTTTTGCCATTTATTTTATTAGGGATCTTGATGTTTTTCTTATAAATTGGAATGAGTTCTTTATATAGTATAATAACTTTTGCTGTATTTATAATATAAATATTTTCATATCTTTTAATTTTACCTTTTTACTTGCTAAATATAGTTTATACTTTCCCTAATGTCTTATTATGAAAATTCCCAAGCTTTATAGAAAGTTGAAATCATTTTACTGTGAATGCTGATATAATTCCACCTAGATTCTACCAATAACACTTTCCTGCAGTAGCTCTGTTTCATGTTTATTCATCTATCCATCCTTTATACCATCTATCAATCCATCTTATTTTTGGATGTATTTCAAAGTAAATCACAAACATTGCTGTATTTCCCCCTAAATAATTCAATATCTTTGCAATTTTTTGTTGATGATGTTGCTTTTGTTTTTACGTAAAGCTTACCTACAAAAACTGATTGGAACTAGAATGCCTAACAGGCATCCTTCTTTGAGAGAGGGTAGAAAAACCTTTTTATAGTGAGGAGTTCCCCAATGAAGGGCCAATGGATAAAATCAGTTATGGGTTTACCTATGAATAAAAACAACACCTAATAATGAAAACTTATGAAACTGTTAGAGTTTTCCTTATGGTTTTCATCATAACTTTATTATTTCTTTAGTTATTGGTTTCTTGATAAGAACTCATATTTTTTTTGGTTGCCTGCTATGTGCTAGACTTACAGCACATAGTAGGTGACAGAAGCATAGCCCTTGACCTCAAGGTAAGAACAGCCTATAGCAGACCTCTTGTTTTTGTTTTGCATTTTATTTTACATTACAAGTGCTGTTCATACTCTCAAGGCATGAACACCCAGACTGAGTTTCAAATTAAGAATATTGCCAACCAGACTTATCATCTCCTATTTATGAGACCAAGTGGAATGAGGGTACATTTGAAAGAGTCTAGCCCCTAGCTAGTTTCTGTTGCTTTGGATTATCAACCCTAGTCAAATAAAAACAAGGCATCATCTCAGTGGAACTGAATTCTCTATAATCTAATAATGAAATTTTGAGCCCTTTGATATGTGCCAGGTACTGTCCTAAGCACTTTGCATATATTAACCGATTTAATGTTTACTACAACTTTGATGGGTTCTGTTATTACCTCCATCTTATAGATAAAGAAGATTGTATCTTCTGTGTGATTTTGTTCACACAAAGGTAGTAGATTAAACACACAAAGTTATTTCTACTCCTTCCTAAATCTAAAATGAAATAAAGGAATAAATCTACAAAGACAAAGAACAGATGCAACAGAGATTTTAAAAATAGTAAGACAGTACTGTTTTTGACTTTATGCCAGTTTTTGAAAAGTAAGGCAAGATAGATAGAAAAAGATAATTTACCAAAGTTGACATAAGAAGAAATGGAAAAATTAAATAGGTCATTTATAGAAATTGAATCAATTCTTTCAAATATTTTTTCCAGATAAGACATTCAGCATATCTTGTTTATAAAACAGCAAGCTATTTTTTAATCAAATGTCTGAAGGAACAGATAATTTCAATCTTAGACTCCTTATGAGTCTAGACTCTAGAACAAAGAGGGAATACAACCCAGCTTTTTTTGTGATAACCTTGACATTCAACAACACAAGGAGACAGTACAAGAAAGAAAAATTACCAGCCAATGTCACTCATTAACATAGGTGTAAAAGTCTTAAAATAGTAAACAAATGTGTAAAAAATGAAATTCATGATAACTAGGGTTAATTCCAGAAATGTAAAGTTGATAATACTAGAAAATACTTTAATATATTAATAACTTGCACATTAACATACTAAGATGAGAAATTCTTATAGTCACCAATAGATGGAAAAAGGCACGACCATGTTCATAAATAGGAAGACTTAATATCTTGAAGATGTCATTTTATTGTAAAATGATTATAGATTGAATAAAATTTTATTCAAAATCGCAATGGAGTTTTACATAGTACCTAACAAGCTGATTCTAAAACTAAAATGGAAAGGCTGAAAAAAGAGCCAAGACAACTTGAAGAAAAAGAATGGGTTGTGGAAGCTTGCTTTATCAGATATCAAACTCTCTATAAAGCTGTAGTAATTAAGATGCTGGTAGTGGCTCAGGGATACACAAATAGACTGACAGAACAGAATAGAAAGCCCAGAAACAGACCACATGTACATGGGCTCTTTATATACGATAGAGCTGACATTGTAGAATCTATGGGGAATAGATGGACTTTTCAAAAACTGCCTATCTACATGGGGAAGAAAAGGAAGACAATTTCTTTTGTACATGTACAAAATTAAATTCCAAATGGAATTTTGAAAGGCAAAATTTTAAAACATATAGAAGACAGAATAGAATAATCCCTGGGATGATCCCAGAGTAGAAAAGGGTTTATTTAAAGATGATCCAAAATGTACATTGTATAAAAGAAAAGATTAAAATTCTGATTTTTTTGTTCATTAAAAGATACCTTTCAGTGAATGAAAAGACAGTCACAAGCTGAGATATTTGCCATATAAAACACTTAGTACTTGAAATATATAAAGAACTACTACAATTAAAAAGCAGACGATGAGCCTATTAATAGAAAAATTGGCAGAAGGCATGAATGGACATCTCACAGAAGAAATACAAATGGGCAGTAACTATATGGAAAGATGCTCAACCACATTAGTAATCACAGAAAAGCAAATCAAAACTACAGTGATTAGAACACTAGGTTTGCAAAAATTGGGTGTCTGACAGTGTCAAGTGTTGTATTGGAGATGTATTAGAGAATTTCATTACCACCGTTTAAAGGGTATGTGGCACAAAACTGTTTGCAAATGCCCATCACTCAGCAATTCTCCTAGATGGAATTTTTTGTGTGTCCACATACCCCTTGGTCACATATAGTGGTCACATGTACAAGAATGTTCATAGCATCATTTTTTTTTTTTTGGTTTGGTTTGTTTTTTTCATCCTGGAAATAGTCCTCATGACTGTAAACAGAGAACTGATAAACTGTAGTATAGTCAAACAACGGAATATTGTGTCAGTAAACATGAATTATACTCTCAACATGATTGCGTCTCTAATACCGAATGCTGAGGGAAAGAAACAAGTTACAGAAGAATATACTGTACGGTGTGATTTTATTCATATGAAGTTCAAGTTAGAAAAACTAAATGGTATATCATTTATGGATAAATACAAACTACAAAGAAAAAAAATGACTGACACAAAATTTAGGCAGTGGTTTCCTCACAAGGAGGGAGAAGAGCATAGTTGGGAAGAGACATACAAGGGATACGAAAAATACTGCTTTCTGTATTAAACTAGATTAGGAAACAAACTTTTCTGTGAAGGGTCAAGTAAATATGGCTTTGCAGGCCATATTGTCTTTATTGCAACTACTGGGCTCTGACCTTGTAGTTTTCCATAGGTAGACTAATGGGTGTGGCTGTTGCCAGCAAAGCTTTATTTACAAGAACAAGTGGCAGGTCAGAATTGGCCTTTTCATCGCAGTTTGCTGACCCCTGAGCTAGTGGTGGGTTTTGGGTTCTTAAGAATTTTTCCTTGAAAAGTTGTTTGTATGATATACATACTTACATGCATGTATATTTCAAACATTTTTAAAGGTTAAAAGAGAAGACATCAAGCCCCTTTATCATGAAATTTTAGAATATTAAGGATACAGACAAAGTAGTTCCTATACAAAGGTTAAGAATAAAAATTGCCTGAGAGTCTGCAGTGGCAATTCTGGAAACAAGAAGACGGTGAAACAGTGTCTTGAACTTCTAGGGAAAGTGATTTCTAACCTAGAATTCAGCATACATCTGCTGGAAACCCTTAGAAGAGAGTGTCAGGAGTCCCTACCACATTTATCAACCTGCTGAAGTTTGTACTCCCATATTCTACCTCTCCTTTGTGGATGAGCTGTCTGTCCTCTAGAGGGCCAGTCACTGTGCTTGTCCACCTGACTTGATTCCACAAATACTTATCATGGCATTGCCATAGGCTTGGGATACAACAGTGAACTAAATAGCCCCAAGCCCCTGTTCTCATGAAGCTTACATTCCAGTCGCATAGGATCTCAGTAAAGAAGATTCGTTAGATGTTTAGTGTGGTAGCTAATGACTAAGTACTCCCTAAGGAGTGAAATGAAGCAGAAGAGAGCGGATGGGCAGTGTGTGGTGGCAGAGGTTACAATTTTAGATAGATGGCCATGGAATGACTTACTGAGAAGGCAATGCTGGAGTTTTCCTTCAAGAAAATTTCTCCCGTAGTAAATAAGCTCTTCTCTCCTGC